GGTGGCGGTTGGTCAGTGAGGTGGGAGGAGTGGATAGGTGGGAGAGAAGATGGACAGGTCAAGGAGGCAGGGATGAGAGGGAGGGTTGGTCATGGGATGAGGCTGAGGGTGGGGAGATTTTGAAACTGGTAAAGTCCACATTGAGACCATTGGGTTGTAGGCTCCCGAGGCAGAATGAGTGGCTGTTCCTCCAGTTTCCGGGTGGTGTTGTTGTGACACTGGAGGAGGCCCAGGATGGACATGTCATCCAGGGAGTGGGAAGGGGAGTCGAAATGGTTCGCGACTGGAAGATGTTGTCATTTGTCGCGAACCAAGCGCAGGTGCTCTACAAAGCGGTATTCGAGTCTCCGCTTAGTATCACCAATGTAGAGGAGGCATCAGGAACAGCGGATGCAATAGACCACATTAGCCGATGCGCAGGTGAACATCTGTCTGTTGTGAAATGTATTTTTGGGGCCTGGGATGGGGGTGCGGGGGGAGGTGTAGGGGCAGGTGTAGCACTTCCTGCGGTTGGAGGGAAAGGTGCCGAGGGTGGTGAGGCTAGTGGTGAGTGTGGAGTGGATGAGGGAGTCGTGGAGAGAGCGGTCCCTATGGAAGGCAGATAGGGGTGGGGAGGGAAATATATCCTTCGTTGTGGGGTCAGATTCCAGATGGCGGAAAATGATGCATTGAATCCAGAGGTTAGTGAGGTGACACTAGCTTCAAAATCTTCTCACTCCCAGCCTCATCCCATGACCAACCCTCCCTCTCATCCCCGCCTCCTTGACCTGTCTGTCTTCTGTCCCACCTATCCGCTCCTCCCACCTCACTGGTCAATCCCCACCACTGCCTAACCTGCTCTCACCTATCACCATCCCATCTACCTTCCCCAGCCCCACCACCTCCCATTTATTTCAGAGCCTCCTTCCCCCTTCCCAATTTCTGAAGAAGGGTCCTGACCCAAAATGTCATCTTTCCTGTTCCTATGATGCTGCCTGGCCTGCTTTGTTATCTCTTTCCATTGGAGGCAGTGCAGAGAAGATTTGCTAGGATGATCCCTGGTATGGAGGGACTGTTTTTCGAGCAAAGGCTAAACAGGTTGGGCTCTACTGACTGGAGTTAAGAAGAATGAGAGGTGATCCCACTGAAACATAAAACATAGTTATGGGGCTTGACAAGGTAAATGAGGGATGTTCCCCCTCTTGGGAGAGTCTAGGACCAGAGAGTTTAGTTTCAGAATAAAAGTGTGCCAGTTTAAGACTGAGATGAGGAGAATTTCTTCTCTCAAAGAGAAGTGTGTCTTTGGAACTTCTTGTCAGAGGGAGCTGTGGGGGAAGAATCCTTGTGTGTATTTAATACTGAGATAGATTCTTGGTAATTAGGGAAATAAGGATTACAGGAAAAGGCAGGAAGTGGACATGAGGAATGTTGGATTAGCCGTGATTCTACTGAATGGCAGATCAGGCTCAAGGGGCTGAATGATCTACTTTTTTCATAGAATTTATAGAATCCCTACAGGGTGGAAACAGGCCATTCGGCCCAACAAGTCCACACCGCCCCTCCGAAGAGCATCCCACGCAGACCCAAAACTCCTGCATTTCCCTTGTCTAACCCACCTAACCTAAACATCCCTGGGCACTATGGGCAATTTACCATAGCCAATCCACCTACCCTGCACATCTTTGGAGTGTGGGAGGAAACCGGAGCACCCAGAGGAAACCCACGCAGACATGGGGAGAATGTGCAAACTCCACACAGACAGTCGCCCAAGGCTGGAATTGAACCCGGGACCCTGGCGCTGTGAGGCAGCAGTGCTAACCATTGAGCCACCGTTGTTCTTATGATCTTACTGATGTGGAATACAGACAGGAAAGTTGATTTAAGGCCACAACCAAGATCTTACCAAATGGCAGAACAGGCTCAAGTAGCTGAATGGTCCATTCCTACTTCGTTTCTTACATACCTCTTCACATGGTGCAAGGGCTCTTTTGATAAACACATTAAGAAAAGCTCCATCTCTGTATATTACATATTCAAAATACAGCTCCACTTTATGCAATTAAATGTAATAGATGGGTTGGATGACATATAGCACTGTACATTTGATATCTGAAATGTGCGCTTTGGGAGCCTTGTTTCATGTGCAACTACAGTCCCCTCCCCTTTAATCCTTAAAAACTCAGCAAGGTCTGCTACATTACTATTCAATACAAGTGTCTTTTCTTATTATTGAAACTTGTTTATTCAGTGTTCAATGGATAGAGATTTCAATGTTGACAAAAAGCTGTAAATTTCCTGGTATTTTAAAAAGTGATTGACAGTGAGCACAAACCTGTATATCAGGATGGTGAAGGAAGTCTGTTGCTAATGTTCCTCAAAAGTTATTTTGAAAAAGGAAAATTTGGATACGTGTATTAGAAGCTTAATAAAACTACAGATTTCTAACCCAGATTTGAAAACTTAAAAAAACTCATAATTCAATTTCAACAATTATTTTATATTTGGCCCTACAATTACATCAACAAATATAGCAATTTTAACAGTGCAAAAAAGGAAAGTATTAACCTTTGGCAACTGCTGAATCCAAAATTTTTTGGTGGATTTCTGTCGCTTTTTACATTTGTGGCACATGTACAGCTCGGTTTCGTCCAGCTCCTCCAAATCTGTGAAACTGCGTAGGCAATCTACAATAAGAATAACCAAAGAACTTCAACCATTGGCTCTCTAGATTCTTATCTATATTTATTTCTCAACAAGCTTAGTAAATCTAGTCTCAGAAACGAGAATGAAGTAATACTTATACATTGCCTCAAAGTGGAAATTAACAGAACTAAAAACCGAATACAACAATCCTTTGATTTCATTTGTTCAAAGTTCAAAATAACTTGGGGGTGTTGATAAATTAGATAGCAAGAAATCACTTCAATCGTCAAGGTCATTAACCAGGACACACAGGTTTAAGGTACCTGGCAAAGAGCTTCCTAAAAAATGCAGCAAGTTATGCATTCCTAAAAGGGAGTAATAGTAGATTCAATATAAAAACTTTTAAAAGGGAGGTTGGATATAAATACTCAAAATGGAAAAAAATTGAGGGATACAAGAACAGGGAGTTGTCAGTTCTTTCAGAGTTAGCACAAGTACAGGCACTAATCTCATTTGTTTATTCTGTGTTTCTAGACTGTTAGAAAATGTTACTGGTTTGCTAGCACAGGTGTCTCTAATTCTCAGTAGGCCATGAGTTCTAGTGCATGCCCAGAGTTGCAGCACCACAGACTACACAAGCTCTGTGCCTTTCAATTTAAACAGTTAAAGGGCTTGGCTATCTTTGCCATCAGGTGTATGCCTGTGGGGACTGGGCAGTGCACAAAAGGAAGACCACAGAAATGGGACTGACATAAATGCCAGGTCATGGTACTGAGGAAGACAAGAAAAGATAAACCTTAAATATTATTTGCTCCACTTCCAAGGCTGGATTTATATTTTTGCCAAGATGCAGCATTTCTACTGTCTTGCTTTTTTTTTTTTAAAAAAGTTTTCTATTTCTCAGTTATTTATTGGAGCATTAATGATTGCTTAACTATTTACCACACTGCATTGGGAGCTCTTGTTAAAACTGCCAAGGTTGTAACACTGCTCTATAGAAGTCTCCAACATCCAGTACCTTCACGATATTTTGGGTTTGACTGATCTATGAACAATGTTTTTCATCAGAATTTCTGATCTCCTTTTCTCTTGGTATGAAAATCAGTCTTTGTCAGCGAGTCATCGTAAAAAATACTATTAATTCATGAATTATTTGCTAAAAATTGGGGAATGTTGCCGAACAAAGTGCGGGTGCATAGTTCCTTGAAGTGAAGTCGCAGATAGACAGGGTGGTGAAGGTGGTGTTTGGCACACTTGCCTTCATTGGTCAGTGCATTGGGATGCCAATGCAGGACACTTTTGGAATACTGTGCTCAATTCTGGTTTCCCTGCTATTGGAAGATGCTATTAAACTTGAAATAGTTCAGAAAAGATTTACAAGAATGTTGCTGGGAATGGAATGTTTGAGCTATGGGGAGAGGCTGAATAGGTTGGGGCTTTTTTCCCTGGAGCGTCAGAGACCGAGGAATAATCTTATACAGTTTTATAAAATCATGGAGGGATATGGATAGAATGAATAGCCAAGATCTTTTTCCCATGGTAGGGGAGTCCAAAACTAGAGGGCATAGGTTTATGGTGAGGGAGAAAAGATTTAAAAGGGACACAAGAAGCAATTTTTTCCATGCAGAAGGTGGCGAGTGTATGGAATGAGCTGCCAGAGGTAGTGGTGGAGGTGGGTACAATTACAACATTTAAAAGGCATCTCGATGGGTACATGAATAGAGTGGGTTTAAAGGGTTATGGGCCAAATGGGTTAGATCAGTTTGGGATATCTGGTTAGTGTGGACAAGTTGGACTGAAGAGTTTGTTTCCATGCTATATAACAATGACTGCACAGACTCAGAAAGAAGGTGTGGAAGAAAAGATTTACAAGGTATAAAACATCTTCAAGCTTAGACAAAAATAAAAGGTATGAAGTGAGCAGGCCAGTACATTATTGTATGCAGTTGGTGGTGATGGACAGGGGATTCATGGACATAGTATTTTAATCAGCACTCTATCTTGCAACTATGAACTTACATTGAAGGGATCTGATACGTACTTCAGTGAAAGAAATTTAAATATAGAACATAGAAAATTTAATCAGAGTAAACAGAGGCAATAGAGAACATTTTGCAAGATCTACCTCAAGTCGTCATTCGTGTAGATAACATGATAATAATAGGGAAAACTAGTAAGGAACACTCAGAGAACTTGGATATAGTCCTAAGGCATTTTTCCAAGGCGGGTGTATGCCAAAGGAGGGAAAAAATGTGTGTTCCGGGCACCACGAATAACCTACTTATCTAGCCGTTGGAAGATAAGGGCGATTAAAAGGTGCCCCAGCTCCCACATCTATCTAGGAGCTTAGGTCATCTCCTGGTTTGTTAAATTATTATGGAAACTTCATTTATATCCTGGCATCCATTCTGGTATTATCTATCTCCTAAATGGGTTCAGCCTTTTAAATGGTTGCACAGACAAGCTCTAGCTTTCACTGAAGTAAAGAAACAGCTATCAAACTCTAAGGTGTTGGCACACATCCCAAGAAAGATCTGATACTGACATGCAATATCCTGCCTCCGTATAGCATCAGGCTGGTATTAGCTCATAAATAGTCCAATGGAGAGGACAGCCCAATAGCATATGCATCCAGGACTTAGAGTGTAAATAACCCCAATAGAGAAATAAGGATTGGCAGTCATATTTGGAGTCAGGAAGTTCCATCAATACCTTTATGGACAGAAATCGGTGATAATCACAGACCACAAACCCCTGCTTGGTTTGCTTTAAAGAGGGCAAGACAGTGTCACCATTCAGCTGTGGGCTCATAATTAAATGTTAGAACACCAAGCAGAGTACCAGATGTGGATATATTGACCCATTAACAGATACACCAATGGTAGTACTCCAACGGCATAGTCTGCAATAACATAAAATTTTCTGGACAGCCTCCCAGTCATTGCTGACAATATTAGACTTCGAAAGCAGAAAGATCCAGTCCTTTCAAAATTTTAACAACTGGTTGTGATAGGGAAAACTAAAGGGCCATTACAGCCAGAACTGAAACCTTTTTGGACTCGGAGACCAGCTCACGACGGAGGACGGCATATTGTTACGAGGAGCAAGAGGTTGCTATCAAAACCTGAACTCAACCAGGGCTATCCACGGGTCTTCAAAAATGAAGATATTGGTGAGAAGTTAACTCTAGTGGTCGGGCTTGGATGCAGACTGAAATAACTCCACAGAGGTCACAGATGATCAGACATCACCAAATCACCCTTCGTTTACTAGTTGAGAGTCCTTGACACTGATCCAGCTTTCAGAATGAACAGGATGTCTGACACTCCTGTTCTTATCTGTCAGCTAGTGCTCCCTGATTGGGGCTGTTAATCTGGCCCAATCAGGGAACTTATCTTCTATGAGGTCCACCTGGCCGACCTCGTTAGAATCACTAAACTCCCACCCGAGTCCGAGGGCAGATTTCAGTTCTTTATGTTTGTAGCTCCTCCAGCAGTATTTTAGCACCGGGTCAGATTCCTCTATGATACAGGTGGCATGTAATGTACAGTAGCTCATCTCTTGGAATAAATTCATTCTCTTCTTCAGGTAGCAAAGGTGTCGAGGGGTGACATCTGCTGTGTCCATCTCAGATTCCGAGGTATCGACATGTGATGGATAGGGAGAACTCGTGTTCCAGAATAATCGGAAAGACTGTCGAGGAGCTGGGCAAGTTTTACTCCCGCACCATTTGCGAGTTTGCAGCTTTCATATGGTCCATGGGTTTGTTCAAGGACTGTTCACCTCTCCGAACTTTATATGTGACTGGACCTGACCTCGAGTCGACCATGCCTCTTACCGATGCAGGGCCATTCCCGTGGTTCTTACACCAAACTCCTTCCCCTGAAGTAAACGGTCTCGCTCGCTTCATGGAGTCTTGTGTCCAGCATTGGTGTTTCTGATGCCGTTTCTTCCCACTCACCCCCTCCTTTCTCCCAAGGTCTAGGAAGATCAGATTTAACCCGGTGCGAAGTCTTCTCCCCATTAGCAACTCTGTGCAAACTATCCCTGTAGTTGCATGAGAGGTGTTCCTATGGTCAAATAGAAACTGGGACAGTTTGGTATCACGTGAAGCTATAGGCTGTTTCTTTAAGCCTGCCTTCAAAGTTTGGACTGCTGTTCTGCTAGACCATTCTGCCATACCATGTGTGGTATGGAGCTGTCCTTACAATGCTGAATTCCATTTGACTTAAAGAAATAACCAAATATCTTGCTGATAAATGATGGCCTGCTATCTGTGACCAACACTTCTGAGACTCCATCTGTTGGGAAAGAAGCATACAGTTTTTCTAACGTCGTACTTGTGTTTGATGAATGGACTCTGTACGCGTCCAACTGCTTTGAAAAGATGTCCGCCATGACTAAGAACATTGGACTCTCAGAAAGCACCTGCACGGTTGACGTGAAACAGATCCTGCCATTGAAGACCGGGCCCAATATGCGGAAAGAATGTGTTTTCTTTTGAGTAAATGGCATTGGGACAGATGAAAAGCAATGAGTAATTCTCCTGACAGCTTGTGGCCCTGCAGCTTTTTCAGTTATTAGGATCTTAATTTTCCCTGAGGTACCAATACTAAAGGCATTATTGTGTCCCCAGAATCAGAGATGGGCATGATAGATGTAGCCACCTTGGCACTTCCTCTACCAGAAAAAAATTCTACTGAGGTGCTCCTGGCACAAGATGCAAACTCTGTGCCAGTCCGACCCACCTCCTGCATTTTGGTCCTGACCCCTCTCTTCTCTCCTACAATAGCAATGGGGACCCTTATCCTCACTGACCATGTCACCAGCATCCATATCCATAGGATCATTGGCCGCCATTTCAGCCACCTGTAGGGAGATACAACCACCAGACACACACTTGACCCCTCCCTGCCCTCGTCAGCTTTCCTCAGGGACCGTTTCCTCTGGGATGCCCTGGTCTACTCCGAACATGTCCCCATAGCACCTTCCTCTGCAATCGCAAGTTGTGTAACACCTGTCCGTTTATTTCGTCCCTCTTCACCATCCAAAGTCCCAAACACACCTTTCCTCTTTACCAGCACTTCACTCAATCCAGTTTACTGTATTTGCTCCTCACAAAGAGGTCTCCTCCACATTGTGAAAACGAGGCACAGACCAAATGACCACTTTGCAGAACACCTTTGTCTGTCCACAAAAAAGGTCCTGAGTTTTCAGTTGTTCCCTGGCCAACATCTCTGTCTCAGGCTAGGTGCAATGTTCCAGTAAAGCTCAGCACAAGCTGGAAGAACAGAGCCTCATTTTCCACTTAGGGACCCTCCAGTCTTCTAGATTTAATATCGAGTTGAAGAATTTTAGGGTTTGAGGTACCTTCTCTCATGTCCTTACCCAAGTGTCACATTCTAGGCCTTGTCATCATATGGGCTACACACAACCTATTGGAAGCTACTAAAAGTCTCCATTAGCAGCTATTCATTATTCAGACCGACCTTTGTCTGTCCAACTGTTTTGCTCTCTCTTTGGGGTTTTATCTCCATAGATCATTTACTCTTTTCCCCCACCCCATCTTCTGCTTAAATACCAATCTTTTCCTTGATACCATCAGTTTTGAAAAAGGGTCACTTGACCCAAACCATTATCCCTGATTTTTCTCCACAGATGCTGCCAGAACTGCTGAGTTGTTCCAGCAATTTGTGTTTTGGTTAAATCCTACCTTGCACTGGCAGGGGCTGTGATATCAAGGAAAAGCAAAATGATGCAGATATTGGAAATCTGACATGAAACAGAACATTGGAAGCACTCAACAGATCAGGAAGCATTTGCGTAGACAGAATTGGAGAACCTCTTTAAAGGTCACTCCTCAACCTGTCAAGCTCCAGTGAAAACAAGGTCCCAGACTATCCAGTCTGTTCTTTATAACTCAAATCTTCCATTCCTGGCAACATCCCGGTATGTGGAAGGACAAAGTTGAAAGCAGAATACAGGGTTAACGGAAAGATTCTTGGCAGTGTGGAGGAGCAGAGGGATCTTGGGGTTCATGTTCACAGTTTCCTGAAAGATTCCACCCAGATGGATAGAGTTGTTAAGAAGGCGTATGGTGTGTTAGCTTTCATTAATAGAGGGATTGAGTTCAAGAGCCGTGAAGTTATGCTCCAACTGTACAAAAGCCTGGTTCGGCCACATCTGGAGAATTGTGTCCAGTTCTGGTCGTCTCATTACTGGAAAGATGTGGAAGCGTTGGAAAAGGTGCAGAGGAGATTTACCAGGACGTTGCCTGGGATGAAGGGAAGGTCTTACGAGGAAAGGTTGAGAGAGCTAGGGCTTTTCTCTTTAGAACGGTGAAGGATGAGAGGTGACTTGATAGAGGTGTACAAAATGATCAGAGGTATAGATAGAGTGGAGAGCCAGAGACTTTTTCCTAGGGTGGAGGTAGCTATTATGAGGGAGCATAGTTTTAAAGCGAGTGGAGGTAGATACAGGGGAGACATCAGAAGTAGGTTCTTTACTCAGAGAGTGGTAGGGGCGTAGAAATCATTGCCGGAGAGGGTAGTGGAGTCGGCTTCATTAGGGGCATTTAAGCGGCTATTAGATAGGCATATGGATGATAGTATAAGGCAAGGGTGGAGGTTAGATAGACCTTAGGATTTGGGTAAAAGTTCGGCACAACATCGTGGGCCAAAGGGCCTGTACTGTGCTGTACTGTTCTATGTTCTATATGTCTACTGAACCCTCTCTAGTTTAATAATATACTTTCCATAACAGAGCAACCAGAACTGGACACAGTATTCCAGGAGACGCCTCACCAGTATCCTGTATAACTTCAACACAACGTTCTAACTTCTTTACTCAAAGGTCTGAGCAACGAGGGCAAGCATGCTAAATGCCTTCTCAACCCGTTGTGACTGCACACACAGCTCCCAGCTTCACTAGAGGAGTAGCTGGACTGCACTAACTGGAAAAGAGTCTCTGCTCAGAGCCTTTCTCCCCCTCCTCCTTTTCTGTGCTGCTAATAAATGTTATACACATTAATTATGATATAATTATTACAATTTGTAATAATAATTAATTGATTCCACGGCTTGGATTGAAGGTGTCACAATGAGCTATTTAGTGGAGCGAATCATATCAGAATTTCTAATTATTTATAATAAATTTGCCATAATAAACAGTTTATTGAGCCTAGTGCGGGAAAGTGGGACTAGTGTTGGCAGTCGTATATTTTTGTACTGCAGACTCAATTAAAAACTGAAGAATCAAACGTAGTAAATGTTAAGCAGAACTAAAATCCAAAGATCACAAAGCAAAAGCTGGCAATAGTGAACCAAACAAGTTACTCAAAACATTTTCTCAATTTTTTCAGCTGAGACTTTTTCTTCAGTCATTACTAACATACTAGTAAACAATGTATGAGCGTATAAACAAAAGATCTCCAATGAGAATCTGACCATTGCCCCTTGGCGATCAATGGCATTACCATTGCCGAAGTCGTCACTAACAAAATCCTAGGGTGGTGGTGGGGTCTACCATTGGTCAGCAATTGAATCAGGCCGGCCATATAAATATTGGCCTCAAAAGCAGGTCAAAGGTTTGGAATTCTGCGATGACCAACGTGACACCCGAATCCCCAAAGCCTGTCCACCATCTACAAGGCACATGTCAGGAATTTACTGGAATAGTCCCCAGTTGCCTGAATTGACGCTGCTCCAACAAAACTCAAGAAGCTTGATTTCATCCAGGAAGAGCAGCCTTCTTGATCATCACTTCATCCAGCATCTTTAATATGCACTCCCTCTACCAATGCTCTTTCAACAGCATGACCTCTAATAACTAGAAAGGCAAGGGCTGTAGAAGCACAGGAACACCAGCACCTGGATGTTCCACTCCAAGTAACACACAGTTCGAACTTGGAAATATATCACCATTCCTTCACTGTCACTGGATCAAAGCCTTGGAGCTTCCCTTCCAACAACGTCAACTTCCCTAAATGCCAAGCATTGCAGCAATTCATGAAGGTAGTTCACCACCAGTCTTTCCAGGACAATTGACAATGGGCAAACTAGTCAGCAACTTGCATACCCCATAAATGAATTTAAATAAAAAAAAAAACTTGCACAGCACCTTTCAATCTGGAGTGAAGTGTACAAGTTCCCTTTGCATTTTCCACTTATGTAAACGTGAAATTGAACAAAACCTTACCACGTAAAGTACATACTGGTCCATTGTCCTGGTTCTTGGATCGTTTGTTTCTGAACTGACTTGGGATATCTAATGAAAGATCTTGGAAAAAAAAAGACATGGTTGAGAGTACAATTAATCCCTATGTAAGAAATATTTTAAAACAAAAATACTTACCAAGGAATGGATCAAACTTTCTGGATTCAGTCCCACAAATTAGACAGTTTACTTCATTCTGAAGTATTCCTCCAAATATGTTTGTGACAATTGTTGAAACACCATTTCTGAAAGAGTTCAAAATAATCATCAGTAACAGTAACATTCCAAAGACATAGCTTGATTGTTAAATACTTGATTATTATAAATTGATGATTAAAACAGAGAAACAGCACGTAACTATAAGCATTTCCAATATATTATATTTTCACTGAATTAGGGACTTACATGCAGCATTTACTGGATGAGGAGATGCTTGAGCTGTCTGGTGAGATAAATGAAGTTGTCATACCATTGTAGCTTCTCTGAAGTTCTAAGTGGAGATGGTCTAACAAGTATCGCATAAACTCATGAGCGTCTTGTTGCTGATATCCTCTGCAAACGGAGATAGAAATCACTGTTTAAACTTTTGAGGCACAGACAATTAATTAAAATCATCTTATTCTTTCCATTCCATATTGCTTGGACCAATTTACCTACTGTGATATTCCTAAGGAGGGAGTTGAAATTTGTTGAATACATGCGTTAGTTAATATGCAATAAATGGTAAGTGTTAATGTCCGTGTTTTCAAACTGCTCACTTTTGGTGTGAACCTTTGTTGCTGTGAAATACTGAAACATACCTTTCTGATATGAAGCTCTTATCACCATTAATTGTAGCTGGGTCAAAATCTTGGAACTCCCTCCCTAATAGCACTGTGGTTGCACCTACACTGCATGCTCAGCAGTGGTTCAAGATGGCTGCTCACCATTACTATCTCAACAGCAATTAAGGTTGGACAACAAAAGTTGGCCTTCCGAGCAATGCGCCCATTGTGGGAAAGAATGTTTTTTTAAAAGTCATGCATTATGTGGCACCTTATAAATCACATTCTAGGATGAGGTGGGAAGGGAAAAAAAAATTTGAAAAGTATAAGCGAACCTTTGGGAATTGGTTGCTGAACTCCCTGCTGGGCTAAGACATGGCATGTTTGTTTATTTATTTTTGTATTTATTCACAGATGTGGATGTCACTGAATAGCCGGCATTCATTACCCATTCCTAATTGCCCAGTGGACAGCTGAGTGTGAACTACATTGTTGTGGGTCTGGACTCACACACAGGCCAGAAGGCAGTTTTCTTTGGTTTATTGTGAAATCACATGCTTTTGGAGCGCTGCTCCTTCGTCAGGTGAAGTGATGGAGCAGCGTCCTGAAAGCTTGTGATTTCGCAATAAATCTGTTGGACTATAACCTGGTGTCATGTGACTTCTGACCTTGTCCACCCCAGTCCAACACCAGCACCTCCACATTCTAAGATTTAGATGTTTCAGGTGAGTAAAAGGGGTGGGGCAGCTGCACAACTGATTAAGGAGAATGTCCTCTCTTAGGATAGCTGTGACATCTTGGAGGGCTTATCCTGCGAGGCCATATGGGTAGTACACAGGAATAAGAAAGATGCAATCACAACAATGGGGTTATACTGTCAACCACCCAGTGAGACACAGAGGAACAGCTATGTAAACGGGATCATGGAAAGATATAAAAATAACAACAGGGCTGTTGTAGTGGGTGATTTTAACTTCCTCAGTGTTGTCTGCAACTCCCTTAATGCCAGGGACTCAGATGAAGCAGAATTTGTTAAGTGCAGCCAGGTCGGTTTCTTGAAATAACATGTAGGTAGTCCACTAGGGAGGGGGATGTACTAGGCCTTGTACTGGGGAATAAGCCTGATCAGGTGATCAAATTTTCAGTATGTGAGCACTTTGGGAACAGTGATCAGAATTCCGTAAGTTTTAAGATAGTCAAGGATAAAGTCAAGACTGGTGATTGGGTGAAAGTACTAAATTGAGTGAAGGCTAATTACAACAGTATTAGGCACGAACTAGAGAAATTAGATTGGGGGCGGCTGTTTGAGGGTAAATCCACATCTCACTCATGGGAGTCTTTTAAAGACCAATTGATCAGAGTATAGGACTGGCATGTTCCTGTGAGGATGAAAGATATGGACGGCAAGATTTGGGAACCTCGAATGATGGATATTGAAAGGCTAGCGGAAAAAAAAAAGCACATGTAAAGTTTAGGAAACAGAAATAAATTTTAAAAAAGGACCTTGAGGAATACAAAGGAAGCAGAAAAGAACAAACAAGAAATTTGGGAGGGCTAGAAGGGGCTATGAAATGTCCTTGGCAAGTACAATTAAGGAGAATTCCAAAACATTTTATACTTAAGACCAAAAGAACTGCAGATGCTGTAAATCAGAAACAAAAACAGGAATTGCTGGAAAAGCTCAGCAGGTCTGACAGCATTTGCAGAGAGAAATCAGAGTTAACATTTTGGGTCGTGTGACCCTTCCTCTGTTCTGTTGGGTGGCTTGAAAAAAATTAATGTAGAATTGTCCCAAGGGCCTGATGGGATGTATCCCAGGATACTGAAGGGGCAAGAGAGGAGACTGCTGGGACCTGACAGAGATTTGTATCCTTTTTAACCACTGGTGCGGTCCCAGAAGAGTGGAGAAAAGCCAATCTTGTTCTTTTGTTTAAGATTGACTATAGGGAGAATTCAAGAAATTAAACACCAGTGAGTCTTACATCAGGGGTAGGGCAATTATTAGATTCTTAAACAGGTGTCAATCACAATTGGAGAAGAAGGGAGTTATTACGGATAGTCAGCATGGTCTTATGTGGGGCAAGTCTTGCTCAAATTTGATGGAGTTTTTTTTTAAAGGAAGTGGTGAAACATGATTGATGAGGGTAGGGCAGCAGGTGTTGTCCACATGGACGTTACTGAAGCATTCGCAAGGTATCTTGTGGTAGGCTGCTCCAAAAAATTAAGTGACGTGGATCCATGATGAGTTGGCAAGTTGGATACAAAATTGAAAGTAGTTGTGGAGGGGTGTTCTTTTGACTGGAGATCTGTGACCAGTGGTGTTTCACAAGGATCATTGCTGGGTCCTTTGCTGTTTGTTATTTGAAATAAATTATTTGAACAAAAATCTGATTAGTGGTCTGATTAAGTCTGCAGATGACATGAAAATTGGTGGGACTGTGGATAGTGAAGAAGGTTTTCAAAGGATACAGCAGGACATAGACCAGTTAGAATATTGGGTGAAACAAGTCTGAGGTGATGCATTTTGAGAGGTCAAATGCAAGAGGAAAGCATACAGTAAATGGCTGGGCTCTGAAGCATTGGTGTGCAGAGGAATCTTGGGGTGCAAGTCCCTAGCTCCCTGAAAGTGGCAGCACAAGTAGATAAGGTGGTAACGGCAGCAAACAGCATTCTTGTTAAGGCAATGAATATAAATGTTTGCAAGTCATGTTGCAACGATATAAGACTTTAGTTAGGACACATTTGAAGTATTGTGAGAAGTTATGGTCACCACACTATAGGAAAGATGGGGAGATTTTGGAGAGGGTACAAAAGAGGTTTACCTGGGTGCTGTCTGGATTGAAGTGCATTGGTCAAAAGGAGCAGTTGTACAAAAACTTGGATTGCTTTCACTCGAGCATCAGATTGAAGTATATTACAGGCATGAATAGGGTAGATAGTCAGAGTCTTTCTGTCAGGGTGTAAATGTCAAAATGCTAGGGGGCACAGGTTTAAGGTGAGGCGGGGGGGAGGTGAGGAAAGTGTTTTTTTAAATACACAGAGGGTGGAAGATGCCAGGAACGTGCTGCCAGGGGAGGTGGTAGAAGCAGAAATGTCAGCAAATTTTAAGGCATTTAGACAGACACATGATACATGAACATGCAGAGAATAGAGGGATACAGACCACTTGCAGGCAGATAAGATTAGTTTAGAATGGCATAGTGGGCCGAAGGGCCTGTTCCTGTGTTGTACTGTTCTATGTTCTTATTGCATCAAGCATTTTAAGTCAGGATTATTAACACCAGCTCTATGCTAAAGTATATGATAAAGTTTTCTTGGTTTGAAGTACTTTCATTTTGTTGAGGGAATAAAAAGTGATGAGTCACTACTTTTCTTCCTTTTTCCTTTCTCCTGGATGATTCCTTTAAATTCTATAATTTATGATGTACTTTTGAAGGTCTACATGCATGGACTGTTAATCACACTCTAGTTAGAATTTGAAGCTAGGGCACTGTAAGAAACTCAAATTATTAAGTAGATTTACAAATCATTAATTTCCAAGAAATATGCTGCTTATACATATTTTTAACTGATAGACACAAAATAAAAACCAATGCCACATTTTCTTGACTGACAGGCTCCTTGTGTGACCTAAGCAGAATTTTAACTAACCATCTTTTTGTTAGTTTTAAAATTCCACTGAGAAACATGTACGTTCTCAGCTAGATGACACAGAAGGAGGAAGAGTTTTTACAGCTAAGATGCCTCTGTGAAATAGAGGGCAGCACATTTGATTCATTACACCTCTGTGCTACTAGAGTTCAGATAAGCACAAACTACATTTCCAAAATATACAGTAGGTCATTTAAAGAAAAAAAGGCCGTTCAACAATTTTGGGTGTAACTGCTTCATAAAACAATTCTTATTGGTTTCCTACCTGAAATTTGGCATAATTTTCCAAATTACATAGAATAGAGATTCAGGACAGAATGCAGTTTGGCTTCCTTGCCACAAGGCACAAAGAGTTTTCCGGAACTCTTCTACCAGGGAGCTGTAATATTTAACAAAGAAACGGAAAAAAGTTAATCATGTTGCACTAAGACTTCTGGTCACTGACTCCCACATCTGATACAAGGAGAAAAGCATGCAACTTATGAGGCCATTTAACTCATTTCTCTGTCCTGGTTTTCTAAGCACGATCTATGGAATTCCATTCTACCTTACATTACTCTCTTCACATTTAAAAATTGTTACTGATTCTATTCTCCAACTTTCTGGCGTAAAAAACATTTTCAGTTGCTAAAAGTCTGGAGTCTTATACAAATACAGTGCAATATAGCAGTCGCACTTTTACAACTGCTTTCAAATCACAGCCATTAACCGACACATAACTGCTGAAAAACATTGACCCTTTCTGATATTTCTATGTGGTTCCAAAATAAATGCTTACAGTATAGGTGGCTGCCATTAAGCTCTTGATTTCTGTGCTGGCCTTCTGAAGGAAGAGTTCATTGACTGCCACTCTCCTACCTTCTTCCTCTGGCCCTGCACATGCTCTCTTTTCACATAATGATCCAAATCTCTTTGAAAACATCACTGGAGGCCCCATCTCCACCACACTTTTAGGTAGTGCATTCCAGGTTCTAACCAACAAGAAAGTCTGAACTCCTTTCTTTAAGCAAGACAGTAAGATTTGAAATTTTCCGGTACATCAGCATTAGGGCCAGAGAAAGAAACTATGGTTCTTGGTTCCTCTCCTGTTTCCAGGTCCACCACACTCAACTCTGTCCTCATTCTAATCTTTGATAGCTTTTGATGACCACCTTGTCAATGCACTTTAGGTCTTTACAGAACAGCTCCATTAAAATTCGTGAAGAGTGGATTAATTCTCATCAGGACTACAGGTGAATACTTGCCTGCGGATCCTTTTAGTTAATAGAAGAAAGCTTCCAAGGATGGATAATTTGTGGCCTTCGTTTTACTTTTTGAGCTAGTTCTCTCCTGCTTGAATCTGCTTTACTCAAAATTACAGTGCATTGAAATCAAAGAAAACTAGGAACATACACACTGTTATCTCCTTGGCTCCTAGTGTGATAGGTCCTTCTCCCTGCAGTTTTACCACTGCGGAGCTCTACTGCTGGAAGCTCCTTGAAATAACAGCAGAACTGCTGGATGTTGCTGCAAGTGAATAACAGTGAAATGACAGTTATTTGAAAAGTATACCATCACTACCTTTACATTCAAAAGTGTGCATTTTTAAGTACTGATTGTGCAGGTTTTCCCAAGCATCACTGCTAAATAATACATGCCTAAGTGCAATCACAAGGCAGCAATCTATTGTTTCGTGTCCAGAACTAAGGAACATCAGAAGGAGTTTCCCTGAGATGAGATTACTGCCTGAAGAGCGCTTCAGCAAGGTCATCACACTTAACAGTGTAATCATCAGCTCTTTTCGTCCTTACCCAGGACTGAGTCAGTGGTTAATAGTGGAACTAGATATCAAGAGCGTTCTGAAGAGAGCATGTGTAAAAATCTTGTCCCTCTTAACCTTAAATGCATGCTCTCTAGTATTAGACATTTCAACTCTGGGTAAAAGATTCTGACTGTCAACCCTAACTACGCCTCTCAATTTCATAAACTTCTATCAGATGTCCCGTCAGCCTCCGCTCCTCAGAGAAAACAACTCCGGTCTATCCAACCTCACTTTATAGCTCATACACTCTAATCGAGGCTGCATCCTGGTAAACCTCTCTGCACCCTCTCTAAAGCCTTCACATCCTTCCTGTAGTGTAGTGTCCAGAATTGAATGCAATACTCTAAGTGCGGCCTAATTAAAGTCTTATAAAGCTGCCACATGACATCCTGACTCTTGCACTCCATGGCCCAACTAATAAGGGCAAGCATGCCATACACCTTCTTTACCACCCTGTCTACTTGTGTTGCCACCTTCAGGGAGAATCGGACTAGGACCCCAAGATCTCTCTGTACATCAATGCTGTTAAGGGTTCTGCTATTAACTGTATACTTTTCCTTAACATTTGATTTCCAAAAGGGCAGCATCTTACACTTTATCACACAGATTGAACACCACCTGCCATTTCTCCGCCTAAATCTGCAACAAATCTACATCCCACTGTATCCTTTGACAATCTTCACACTATTCACAACTTTGTGTTGTCTGCAAACTTACTAAATCACCCATCTACGTTTTCATCCAAGTCATTTACATAAACCATAAAAGCAGAGGCCCCAGTATGGATCACTGCGGAAAGCCACCAAACACGGATCTCCAGCCAGAAAAACAGACTTCCATCACTACCCTCTGTCTTCTATTGGCAAGCCAATTGTGAATCCAAATGGCAAGGTCACCACGGATCCAATACATCTTAATCTTCTGGATGAGCCTACCATAAAGAGACCTTGTTGAAAGCCTTATTAAAATCCATGCAAAGAACACCCACTGCCCTGCCCTAATCAAGCACACTTGTCACTTCCTGAAAAAAAGTCAATTAAGTTAGTAAGACATGATGTGCCCTGCACAAAGCCATGCTGACTGCGCATAATTAGGCCATGCTTTTCCAAATGTATGTAAATCCTATCCCTAACAATCCTCTCCAATAGATTCCCAACCAATGTGAGACTAACCGGTCTATAATTTCCTCGATTATCCTTATTTCCCTAAATGAATAGAGTACAACATTAGCTATTTGCCAGTCCACAGGGACATCACCAGTGGCTAGAGAGGATACAAAGATCTTGGTCAAGGCCTCAGGAATCTACTCTCTTGCCTCTCTCAATAACCTGCAGTAGATACCATCAGGCTCTCGGGACTAATCCACCTTAATGCTCTTCAACAGACCTAACACTACTTCTTTCTTGACCTCACATTGCTCTAGCATATTAGCATGCCCCAGACTAATCTCTCAATCCACCACGTTCTTCTCCTTGGTGAATACCAACTCAGTGTTGAAACGACAGTCAGAGATTTCCCCCTTTTTTTTCCTGCCTCTAAGCCAGGGACATAATTAAAATGGTATGAAAAGTCATGGCAGCCAACGTTCCTTGCTGTCTTCCCACTGCTGCATTTTAACTTGCTCTATTAAGCAGAGAAATGGACCAGCCAATAGAAGGCAGTACATCGGACCCTAACTCCTTTTTTAAACCAAGGGCTGCCCAGGGAGACTAGTCCTTTCCCCACAAAGTCCATCAAGGTGTTAAGGGGAGCTAAGTTCACCAGAGGCTCAAAAAAAGGGAATGAATTGCATTTGATTTTGTTTCTTTGTGGGCAGAGAAGATCAGGAATACTCTAACATGCCTCAAAGAGGAACCTTGGGCCTCTCCACCCCTTAACTGACTGCCAGGAATGTTTCTTTGTGCCCCAGGCACCAGCCTGAAATCGCACACCAGTCCACTGTTAAGCAAATGCTTTCTGCCAGTTTAGGGTTGGAGCCTGAATGGGGGCTGCATAGCTGGCTTATCCAGAGAAGTCACAGGATGTTAAAATCTCTAAGGCCACGCACTGTGACGAACTCGACATTTTTCTGCCTGCCTCGGTTCCCACCACGTAACTTTTGGGAGCTCAAACTGGCTATTTAGTCTGGAATCCCCATTTGAAAGTCAAGAGGAGATCAACAAGTGTTAAATAAGTGTACTGCAATCAACTCCGACATCAAGTACATAATGAGTGCAAAATGTGATCATATCATATAATCCAAAGAGTTTTTGAACAAATCAATTTAACTCCACCCTGAATTCAACATCAACTGTTATACAAGGTATAGTGTTGTACCTTGGCAGCAGTTAAACAAAATATATACAGGGGAAAAAGCACTTTTCAATGTCCTGCATGGAGAACATGGGTCCATCGCTTTTACTCACTTTTGTAAGTGATTTGAATGTGAATAGAAGAGGTATGGTTTGTAAGTCTGCAGATGACACCAAAATTGGTGGTGTAGTGGACAATGAAGGAGGTTATCGCAAAGTACAATGGGACCTTGATGAGATGGGCCAATGGGCTGAGCAGCGGCAGATGGAGTTTAATCTAGATAAATGTGACATGCTACATTTTGATGGGGCAAATCAGGGTAGGGCTTTACACTTAAGGTCGTGGGGAGTGTTGCCGAACAAACAGACGTTGGAGTGCAGGTCCACAGCTCCTTGAAAAAGGAGTTGCAGGTTGACAGAGGAGTGAAGTTGGTGTTTGGTACACTGCCTTTATTGGTCAGTGCATTGAGTACAGGAGTTGTAAGGTCATGTTGTGGCTGTACAGGATATTGTTTAGGCCACTTTTGGAATACTGCATTCAATTCTGGTCTACCTGCTATAGGAAAGACGTAAAACTTGAAAGTGTTTAGAAAAGGTTTGCACAGATGTTACCAGGTTGCAGCCTCAGAGATTTTAACATCCTGGGATTTTACTGGATAAGCGAACTGCACAGCCCCAATTCAGGCTCCAGCCCTAAAACTGGCAGGGTTTGAGATATAGGGAGAGGCTGAATAGGCAGGGACTATTTTCCCCTGGAGTGTCAGAGGCTGAGGATGACCTTACAGAGGTTTCTAAACAGGAGGGGGGGGGGGTGGAGGAGACCAAAACTAGAGGGCATAGGTTTAAGGCGAGAGGGGCAAGATTTAAGAGACCTATGGGGCAACTTTTTCCACACTGAGGATGGTGTGTGTATGGAATGGCTGCCAAAGGATGCGGTGGAGACTGTTACAATTACAACATTTAAAAGGCATCTGGATGGGTATATGAACAGGAACGTTGTAGAGGGATATGGGTCAAATGCTGGCAAATAGGACTAGATTAATTCAGGATATCTCGTAAACACGGACGAGCTGGACCGAAGGGTTTGTTTCCGTGCTGTACATCTCTATGACTCTATGACGTGGCAGACACTGAAAGGGTTAAGGTTAAATACATGTCTGAGAGCTTTGCCATTGTTTAAACACAAGGTTTAAGTTATCACTATGAGTGACATTTCATAGAATCGTAGAATCCCTATAGTGTGGAAACAGGCCATTCAGCCCAGCTGGTCCTCACCGCCCCTCCGAAGCGCATTCCATTCAGACTCATTCCCCTACCCCTGCATTTCCCCATGTCTAACCCACCTAACCTAAACAACCCTGGTCACTACAGGCAATTTAACATGGCCAATCCACCCAGAGTGCATATCTTTGGGCTGTGGGAGGAAACCCAAGCAGACATGGGAAGAATGTGCAAACTCCACACAGACAGTCGCCTAAGGAAGGAATTGAACCCGGGTCCCTGGCGCTGTGAGGCAGCAGTGCTAGCCATTGAGCCACTGTGCCGCCCAATTATTCAATCTATACTGCAAAGACAGTTATACAAGTTTCTAATCATAAGTGTTATTATATATTCTCCACTTTACTGAATGCATTCAGCTCAGCAACACTCCACCATACACTTACTGGGCATCTAGTCTCTCCTTCACTCTTCACCATCAACATATAGTGGCAGCAGCATGTACCATTTACAAGATACACTGCAGCAACTCATCCAGTTTCCTTTGACGAGACCTCCCAAACCTACAAACTCTACCACCTGAAAGAGGAAGGGCATCAGGTGCATGTGAATGTCGCCACTTGCAAATTCTCTTCCCAGGTTATACACCAAACTTGGATATTGCCATTCTTTACATCAATTATTATAAATCCCAGCATTCCTTCTCTAACAGCACTGTGGGTGTAAGAGTACAGCTGTTCAAAGCACCTACGGTACTCCTCAAATGCAATTAGAGTTGGATAGCTAGCTGACATCCTGTGAATAACTTTTTAAAAAGTGGTACTAACACTTGCAGATGAAGGACAAGCCTTAAGGAGTCAGGTGATGAATTACAGGCTGGAGTTCCAGTCTCTGGCATGCAAAAATGGCCATGTTTGCTTAGCCAACGAGACTCACATCTCATTTAAAAAAAGTAAATACACATTAGATTAAAAAATCTCATGGTCCCTGTACACTACCACCTCTGGTTGCTCTTACCTGTTAATGGGGCAAGACATACTAGGGCTGGTATTGTAGGAGCTAGGGATAACAGCTGTAAGGTATGATTCTAGCATTAAGGTAGTTGCTTGACTAGTCTGTTGGACAACTCTCAATTTTGGCTTACCTCTGGAATATAAGGAACACTGTGCAGGACTGACTGGTACTATTGTTATGTACAAATTCAGTGCTTAGGTCCATCACATTTTATCCTTGTTATATTTTGTATAGTCATTTGGTACAACTGAATGGCTTGCTAGGCCATTTGTAAGGGGAGATAAGAGTCAACCACATTGCTTGTTATCATCTAATATAGTCTGAATTAATGCCTGGGACCCAAATAAATGAGGGAATAGATGATGGATACATTAAGAGTTAATTAGGTTTGAACTAGCTGTATAAATATGGGGAGCAGGGCTCAAAACAGCAGAAGCCATAGAGGAGTACAGAACATGCAAGGGCGAACTTAAAAAAGAAATTAGAAGAGCAAGAAGGAAGTATGAAAGGATAATGGCAGGTGAAATAAAGGTTAAAATAAAAAAGTTACTTTATGAGTACATCAAAGGGTAAAAGGATAACTCGGGAAAGAGGAAGTCCCATTAAGTCCAGAGTGGTAATTTGTGCATGGAGCTAGATGTCAGTAGTTCATTGAACATAGAACAGTATAGCACAAAAAAAGTCTTACAGACCACCATTGTGCTGACCATGATGCTATTGTAAATTAATCCCGTTTGCCTGCAAATGGTCTACATCTCTCTATTCTCAGTCTGTTCTGGTGTTTGTTGAAATGCCTCAAACTTTGCTAACGTCTCTGCTGGCATTGTGTTCAAGGCACATTCCACACTATTATGCAAGGGAGGAAACAGCAGTGGCACTAGCAATATTTTCAATTCCTCTCCAGCCAGAGGGGACTGGAGGACAAAATGTGTTACTTTTATTCAAGAAGGGAAGTAGGGATAATCTACAGGCTAATCAATCTAACCTTGGTAGTAGGGAAACCTTTGGAAGCAATCCTGAGGGACAGAATTAATAAGCACTTGGAGAGGTAGGTACTAATCAAAGAACCGTCAGCATAGTTTTAAGGGCAGGTCATAGCTGACCAACTTGATTGAATATTTAAGAAGTGAACAGGGGTGTAGCTAAGGGCAATGTGTTTGAGGTGGACTTCAGCAAGTTTCAAAAAGGTGCCACATGAGAATCTGTTGGAAAGGTAAGAGCTCATGGAATCCAAGGAAATTTGGCTAATTGAATGCAAAATTAGCTGAGTGACAGGAAGCAGACAGTAATGGTGGAGGGGTATTATTGTGACTGGAAGCCTGTGACCAGTGGGATTCCGCAAGGCTTAGTGTTGGGACCTATGTTGTTTGTGGTATATAACTGCTGCACTGGGTAGATTAAAGTCTTCCCACAGAAACATTTAATCAAAGACATACTACAAGTGCTGCAAAATTTTGTCATCAGGATCAGAAAGCAGAAACTCCCCACAGGTATTTAAAGCATGAGGTAGTGGCATTTTTTTTTTTATTCATTCACAGGATGAGGGTGTCACTGGCTAGGCAGCATTTATTGCCCATCCTGAATTGCCCAGAGGGCAGTTAAGGGTCAACGACATTGCTGTGGGTCTGGAATCACACGCAAGTCAGACGAGGTAAGGATGGTAGCTTCCAGATGGGTTTTTCCCAACAATCAACAATGGATTCACAGTCATCATTAGAGACTTAATTCCAGATATTTATTGAATTCAAATTCCACCATCTGCCATGGTGGGATTTGAACCTGGGTCCCTAAAACATTATCTGGGCCTCTGGATTAACAGTCCAGCGATGATACCACTAGGCCAATGTCTCCTCTTGAAATAACAGTATTGTCACTGAATGAGTAGTCCAGAAACCCAGACTAATGCCCTGGGGACATGCATTCAAATTCCATATGCCAGTTGACTGTATTTAAGGTTTGCTTCAATACAACACAGGTTATGTGGAGACTGTGAATTGCAAATTCAAAATTGAACAGGGAGATTACAAATTCAAGAAGAATTTTGTATACCTCCTACCCTGTATAATGCTCAAAGAAATGGGGAGATAAATGTCTATCTAGGTATGACAACTTCTGCAAGAATACAAATTAGCCTGTCTTTATAAACCAGAGAACAGGGAAACACTCCGTTACACTGGTATTAAAAAGATAAGTTCCTTGAAGTGATCAGAGCTGTAGGAAGATGAACTGGAGTATTGTTTTGGAAAGATTTGTTAAATATTATCCAAAATTCATTCAGTTCTAAATACAACAGTATTAGCTGCATGCAATTATTTAGCATCACAATGCAGACTTCACAAAAGAAGAGTGTTAGATATAGCACTACCAAAATACCTGGTAAACATCACAACAATTCTGTCAAACCAACATATAAATTCTATTTTTCAATCTAAAAGTAGAATGGTGGGTTGATTATACCTCTGCAATGAGTCTATTACCTGAGTGACTGGAGGATGGCATTCATAAAACAGGTGTTCCCAAGATTCCGCAGTCCTGTGGCGCAAATGGCAGTGGTCCCTCCCTATCAGATGATTAGAACCTGTTAGTTGCTGATTAGTAAGCTCAACCGCATCCAAGTTCAACAGACACCTGACTAGCTGGAACTCGGAGTGTAAAACTTTGCTGGTTAACACTATCTCAACTGAGTCACTACTAGAATCGTCCAAAGTGAACAGTCACAGAACCATTAGAAATAGGAACAAGAGTAGGCTGTTCAGCCCATCAAGTTTGCTCTGCCATTCAATATTCCTCAGAGCCCCTTTCCTGCCCTTTCCCTAATCCCCTTGATTCCCCAACTGATCAAGAAGCTATCTCAGCTGCCCCCACAGTTCTCTGTAGCAAGGAGTTCCAAGAACATGCAACACCCAGGGAATAAGTTCCTCCTCACATCAGTCTTAAATTGGCACCCCTTTATTCTGAGTGTACGCTGTCTGATCCTAGACTCTCCTTTAAGAGTAAACATCAACTCAGCATTTCCCTTCTCATACCCCATTAAGAACCATATATGTTTCAAGATCACCTCTCATTCTTCTAAATTTCAATGAGCAGGGTCCCAAGATGTTTTAGTCTTCACTCATATGACAACCCCTCCATAATGGAAATCATCTTAGTGAACCTTCTCTGAACTGCCTCCAATAAAATAATATTTTTCCGTAAATAAGGAATCCAAAACTGCTCTCAGTACTCCAGATGTGGTCTCACCAGTACCTTGAAAAGTCGCAGTAAGACTTCCCTACTTATACTCCAACACCTTTGAAATAAGGGCTAATGTTCCATTAGCCTTCCTGACTACCTGCTGCACCCATGTACTAGCTTTGTGTTTTGTGCACATAACCCCCAAGACCCTTTTGAGCTGCAGCTTTCTTCAGTTTTTCTCCATACAAATAATATTCTGTTCTTTTGTTCTCCCTTCCAAAATGAATAATTTTACATTTTCCCCACACTGTACTCCATTTGCCAGATTTTAGCCTGCTTACTTAATCTATCAATGCCCCTCTGTAAACATTGTGTACCCATTCACAATGTAGCTCTCCACCTATTTTTGGGTTTGATCCTTCTGCGACTCCACTGATCACAGATCACCAACCTGAAAAGGAACCCCATATCCCCACTCACTGTTTTCTGCCCATTAGCCAATTCCCGGACGTATGTGGCACTTTGTCAAACACCTTCTGGAAGTCCGAACATTGGTTCCCCTCTATCTACTCTGGTTGAGAGTTCCTTGAAAAACGCTAATCAATTCGTCAGACATAATTGCCCTTTTATGAAGCCATGTTTGATTAGATTATAGTTTTCCAAATATGCTTCTATTACTTCTTTTAATAATTGATTTAACATTTTTCCAACAATAGATGTCAGGCTAATCAGACTGTAACTATCTGCTTTTCGCCTCCCTTTTTGAATAGGGAAGGTTAACTGCAAATGTTTTAATTTAAAATAAACTGCCGATCTTCTCCAATCTTTGCATGAATATTGATTAAAGATAAAAATTTAAAATACAATTAGAATGGAAAGTTATCCACATTGAACTGTACAAACTAAATGAAAGTTGGTGTTTCTTAAATACCTAATCAAAAGGCTAGCGCAACTTCAATCTTAGAATTCAAATATATCATTTAATAAGAATTACCTCAATTTGGAGACAAAAGACATTGAAACCTAATAAAGTAATTTCCAAGAAATTCAAAAAAGAAGAAATACATGAAAGGTCTCACAGTACTGTTCACAGATCGTTGTTATCTTATGCAGCGGCAGAAATAATCAGCTACACAGTGCTATGAAGATGCAGTAGCTATTCAGAATGCCAAAATGGAACGCAGATAGGGCCGGTGTTGTCAGTTGGCCATGTTAGTCACCATGCCAGGATTGGTCTGCACATAGAAACATAGAAACTGAGAGTGGGGGTGGGGGGGCAAGACTTAGTAGAGTGATTGGGGAGGGTTTAAACTAGTGTGGCAGGGGTTGCGAACCAGAGGAGTAGGGCTGTAGATGCAGAAATTGGAGAAGAGGTAGAAACCAAGGCAAACATGTATAAGAATAAGAGCAGGCAGGGAAACTTTGCAGAAAAGAGCAGGGGAGGTAGTCTGAAATGCAAGTGTTTCAATGCGAGAAGTATAATAAGCAAGGTAGAAGAGCTTAGAGCTTTGATTAGTACTTGGAACTATGACATTATTGCATACGGAGACTCGGCTGAAAGAGGGATAGGACTGGCAGATGAATGTCCCAGAATTTAGATGTTGCAGGTGTGATAGAAGGGGATGTAAAGGAGTATCTCACAGCTGTACTGAGGGAATACACATCAGAGGATTCGTGCAGCGAGGCAATATGGGTAGAATTCAGGGATAAGAAATGTGAAGTCACAATGCTGGGGTGTACTACAGGCCAAACAACAGCCAGCAGGAGATAGAGAAGAGAATATGTAGACAGATTTTGGAAAGATGTAAAAACAGCAGGGTTGTTTTGGTGGGTGATTTTAATGCTCCCTACGTTGACTGGGACTTTGTAATAGGGGCTTGAATGGGGCAGAATCTGTAGGGGCCATTCAGGAGGATTTCTTGACAGTGTGCAAACAGTCCAACCAGGAAAGGGGTTATAGTGGACCTGGTTTTGGGAAAAGAGCCTGGCCAGGTTAGTGAAGTGTCAGTGGGGGATCATTTTGGAAGTAGTGATCATAATACTGAGAGTTTTATGATATTCATGGTTAGGGTTAACAACAGTCCTCGGGTGAAGGTGTTAAATTGGGGTAAGGCAAACTATAACAATATTAGGCAGGAACTGGAGAATGTTGATTGGAAGTAGCTGGTTGAGGGTAAATCCACATTGAACATGTGGGAGTATTTCAAATGAAATTGATAAGAGTTCAGGAGTGAGCGTTCAGGAGTTCCTGTGAGAATGAAGGATAGGTTTGGCAAGTTACATGAACCTTGGATGACAAGGGATGTTATGATCTTGGTCAAAAAGGAAAAGGAAGCATACATAAGGTCGAGGTGGATGAGAACAGACAAAGCCCTTGAAGTATATAAGGAAAGTAGGAAGGAACTTAAACAATGAATTAGAAGGATGATAGAGAGTCATGACAAGTTGTTAGAAAACTGGATTAAGGAGAATCCCAAGGCTTTTTATACATATAAAAATCAAAGAGGGCAGCCAGGGAAAGGTGTGGCCCGTGCAAAGATAAAGGAAGGAATCTGAGAGTGGAGCTAGAAGAGATAGGTGAGGTCCTAAAGAAATACTTTGTGGCAGTATTCACCAAAGAGGAGAAATTGGTGGAGGATAATCTCAGGGAAAGGAGTGTTGAATTTCTAAGCCAGGTTGCTATTAAAAAGTAAGAGTTGTTGTGCGTCTTAAAAAGTATTAAAGCAGATAAGTCCCCGGGTCCTGATGGGACTTTCCCAGAATATTGCGGGAGGCAAGAGAATAAATTGCTGGAGCACTGACAGACATTTTTGTATCCTGTTTGGCCGTAGGTGAGGTCCCAGAGGACTGGAGAACAGCCAATGTTGTCTCATTATTTAAACAGGGTAACAGGGAGCCTCATGTCGGTGGAAGGGAAATTATTGGAAAAGATTCTTATGGACAATGTCTTACATGCATTTAGAAGCAAATGGACTTATTAGTGATAGACAGCATGGTTTTATTTGGGAGAGATCATGCCTCCTTAACTTGATCAAGTTTTTTCAGGAGGTGACGAAGACAATTGAGGGAAAGGCAGTTGATGTTGTCTACATGGACTTTAGTAAAGCCTTTGAAAGGGTCCTTCCTGGCAGACTGGTACAAAAGGTGAAGCGACATGGTATCAGGGATGAGCTGGCAAGATGGATACAGAACTGGCTTAGTCATAGGAGACACAGGATAGTGGTGGAAGGATGGAGGGTTGTGACTAGTGGTGTTCCACAGGAATCAGTGCTGGGACCTCTGCTGTTCATGATCTACATAAATGATTTGGAGGAAAACAGCTGGTCTAATCAGTAAGTTTGCAGATGATATAAAGATTGGTGAAGTTGCAAATAGTAAGGAGAATTGTCAGAGGATACAGCAGGTTATAGATCAGCTGGAGTTTAATATGAACAAATGAGAGGTGATGCATTTTGGAAGGTCAAGTACTGGTGGAAATTATACAGTGAACGGCAGAACACTTAGGAGTATTGATATGCAGGACCACAGATCACAACGTGGCAGCGCAGGTAAATGTGGTAATAGAAAATGCTTATGGCATGCTAGCCTTCATTGGAAGGGGCAGTGAGTCTTAGGATAGACAAGTTATGCTGCCGTTTTACAGTGTAGTCAGGCTACACTTGGAATATTGCACACAGTTCTGGTCACCACACTACCAGAAGGATGTGGGTGTTTTAGAGTGGGGATGGTATGGAGGATGTTAGCTATGAAGAAAGGTTGGATAGACTGGGTTTGTTTTCACTGGAATGCCGGAGGTTGAGAGGCGACCTGATGGAAGTTTATAAGATCGTTAATGCCATGGAAAGAGTGGAAGTATGTAGCTTTTTGACAGGGTTGAGGGGTCAATTACGAGGGGACCACATTCAAGGTGCGAGGGGGCATGTTTAAAAGAGATGTGCAAGGCACGTTTTTCCACACAATAGGTGGTGAGTGCCTGGAACTCGCTGCCAGAGGTGGTGGTGGAAGCAGACACAATAGCAGCATCGAAGAAACACCTGGACAAAGACTTGAATAGGAAGGGAATAGAAGGATGCAGATCCTGTTAAGTGAAGACATTTTTAATATGGAAGGGCACAGGCTTGGAGGGCCAAAGGGCCTGTTCCTTTGCTGTATTGTTCTTTGTTCTAAAATAGGAGAAGTGGGCTATTCAGCACTCTATGCCTTCTCTGACACACACTATGTTCGTGGCTAATCATCTATCTCAGTATCCTGTTCCGGCTTTCTCCCCATACCTTTCAATCCCTTTAGCCCCCAGGAACTATTTAGGATCACAGAATTTCTACAGTGTGGGAGAAGATCATTCAGTTCATTGAGTCTACACTGACCCTCCAAAGAGCATCCCACCCTCTACCATTCAAAAGTGCTTTGTCTTCTGTCACCAAAAATCCATTGAGTCTTTGAAAACATGTTGCTTGTTGATCCCAACCCCTCCAAGTTTAACTGTGCTATTAAATGGACTCCAGCATTTTCCCCACCACTAATGTCAGGCTAATTGGTCTATAAATCCCATGTTTCCTCTCTACCTACATTTTAGAAATAGTGAGATGACATTAGCTACCCTCTAATCCATAAGAATTTTTCTAGAATACATACAATCCACTATTTCTATGGGCACTTCCTTATGTACTCTAGGATGTAGGTGATTGAGCCCTGGGTATTTATTGGCCATTCATCTCATCAATTTCCGCAATACCATTTCCCTACTAATACCAATTTCCTAATTCCTTCTGCTCACAAGACATTGTGTTGCAACATTTTTGGAAAGTTATTTGAGTCGTTCTTGAAGGCAGAACAAAAATATGTAATTAATCGGTTCACCACACATGGAAGATAATTGGTGCAAGAGTAAATGCTGTTGAATGAATGTTTTCATGAACAAAGTGCCCAGTAATTATTACAATCCTACTTACATTGATCTTCAAATACTTGTTGTTCACAGATGAACTTTCCATCAACTTTCTTTTACGGTGTCTGTCTGCTGAAAATGCTGAACTGTATGATGAAAAGGACATATTAGAGTGCGCCTCACTTTTCACTGGATGCTGTGGAATGCAGCATGTTTATGTCAGCCTTTTATTAAGTGGTATTTTCTACTCAATGCTTCATTGCAGAGTTCAATTATCCAATTGCTTAAAATGCTGTTGAGTCACATTGCACAATTAAGACAAAATCCCACATAAACATTGAAAGCAATTACATGTGAATCATTGATGCTGGCTAACACAGCCTACAAAACAGGAAAACAAATAATGTGTGTTGCAAACTTAAGAGCGTAAAGACCATAAGAAGTAGAACCAGGAGTATACAGTTCAGCCCCCTCGAGCCTGCTCCCCATTCAATAGGATCATGATGAATCAACATTCCTCATGTCCACTTTCTTGCTCTTTTCTCGTAACCTTTGATACCTCATTTAGAGAGACAGGGTTTGATCAGGGATAGCCAGTATGACTTTGTCAAAGGTGGTCATGCCCAACAAATCTGGTAAATTTTTTTGAGGTGACAACTAAGTGTTTGGATGAAGTTAGGGCTGTTGATGTAGTTTTTAATGGATTTCAGCAAGGCCCCTGACAAGATCCTACATAGGGGATCTATGATATAGAGGGTAATGGAATCCAGGATAATTTAACAGGTTGTATCCAAAACTGGCTTAGTGGCAGGTAGTGGTGGTAGAAAGTGGTTTGACAGACTGGAAGCTGTTGTGCAGCGGCATTACCAAAGGAATCGGTGTCGAGTCCCTTATGTATCAAAGATTCATAAATACTGTCAATGAGTATGTGTGTGTGCACCTAACTTTGTGGATGACACAAAGATTGGCCAGGTAGTTAACAATGAGGAGGAAGGTCTTACAGTACAGGACAATATAAATAGATTGATCAGATGGGCATATCAGTGACAGATGGAATTTAATTCTGATAAATGAGAGGTGATGCACTTGTGAGGAAGGAACAGGACAAAGGAATACTCAATGATTGGCAGGACACTAGGAACCTCAGAGGAACATTGGGATCTTGGAGTGCTTATCCACAGATCCCTGCAGGTACCAGGACAGGTTAATAGGGTAGATTAAGAAGAAGGCATATGAGATGCTTGCCTTTGTCAGTCATGGCACAGATAAGAACAGGGAGGTCATACTGGAGTTGTGCAGAACTTTGGTTAGGCCACAGCTGGAGTAGTGCTGGCAGTTCTGGTCACCAGACTACAGGAAGGATGCGACTGCACTGGAGGGGGTGCAAATGAGATTCACCAGGATGTTGCCTGGTGCTGAGCATTTCAGCTATGAAGAGAGGATGGATAAGTTCAGGTTATTTTCTTTGGAATAGAGAAGGTTGTCACAGGAGCTGATAGGCGTATATAAGATAATGATGGGTATGGACAGGGTGAATAGAAAGCAGTTGCTCCCTGCCCACCTCGCCAAGTCAAAGGGTCAATACAAAGGAGGCATAACTTTAAAGTTTAAAGACATATTTAGTTTAAATAACGTTAAAGAGGTTTAGAGGGGATCAGAGGAAAAACTCTCACCCATTGGGTGATGGAGGTCGAAATGCCTTGGAGGGTAACTGAGGAGAGAAACTTCACAATCTTTAAAAACTATTTGATGAGCACTTGAAGTGTCAAAAGATGCAAGATACTGATCAAGAATCTATTGTCTGAAATATACACAGTGACTCCGCCCTACAGTTCTCTCTAGTAAGCAATTCCAGTACAGCCCCAACCTGTTCACGCTTTGCTCATCAGACTATCCCTCCATGCTGGGGATCATCCAAGTAAACCTTCTCTGAACTGCCTCAAATGAGATTTTTCATTATGTTAGTGAACTCAACAATAGTCAGCAACTTGAAACATTAACTGCTTCTTTGCACAATGGCTGCCTAACCTGCTGAGTATTTCCACCATTTTATATTTTTTCAATTGAGATTTCCAGCATCTGCAGAATTCTGATTTCATTTCCATATTTGCAAGAATTGATCACTTTAATTACAGACAAATCCCAGCCCCATGGATATGGTATCAGTGCAGAAGTTTGCAATCACAACACAGGTTCACAGAAGCAGTTTCCATAAGGACAGACTGTATGATTTTAAATCGGAGGTGACATAAGTTTGTATGTACTCACTAAATCATTCCCCGGCCCTCAAACCCTCCTTCATCTGAGGACTATATTTGTTTTTTCTGGAGTCCCCACCATTGGAAATCAGTATTTAGTTTGCCTTTCTTGTGCTCTAAACACAGGCCATATCACAATATTTCTACCCACTATAGCTAGCATTTAAATTTTTCTATGAACAGGGAATATGTTACTGGCAAGGCAAGCATTATCCCATCCCATAAATAAATTTTGAACAATGAACTGTGGTTCAAGTGGAGATCCCGAGTTAGGGATCACAACTGATATTTACTTTAACACTTCTCAGGAGGTAAATAAAAATCAACACTGTGCTGAAGGAAATATTAGATGAATGATAAAAAGCTTCACCAGAAAGATAGGATTTAAAGGAGTACCCAAAAGGAGTAAAAGTTTGGGACTTGAGGTTCTTGACATTATTGGGACTGCTTTCACTGAGACAAATGCAGAGCATTGATCATTCTCATGCTGTGTAGGTGGTGAAAAAGCTTGGGATTCAAAATTAACAAAGTGGTTAAATTCCAGCTTAAGGCCCAAAAACGTTGACTAAAAGCCTGTTTTTCTTGCAATACTACAAGGCTTGTTCCTACTGAAGATGCCTAACATGTGCTTTTTTAAAAAAAACAGGAAAATACTCACTCATGATGCAGGATTTTCAAGGTTGTTAATGCTGTGCTCATGCATATAATTAACTAACCACTCCCTATTCCTGATGGAGCTATATACAACTAATCAGATTCGTAGTTTCACTTTTTTTAAACTGTGGACTTTCAAAGAGCTTTGTATGTGCTGCTGGATTGAATTCCATTCAAACAGATTAATCCATTTTACAGTCAATTGCAAGATACTGGCAATCATTCATAGGGCTCAAATCATTCTCGCTTTAGTAAAAATATTGAAGAAGGTTCAACCCGACTCAAGTCTTTGAACGTATAACAGAGGCTGGGACTCAAATACAGAATTTTAGGAATGTTGCGTTATAGAAGGTGACATATTTTAGAATTGATATTGAACTGATTGTTCAAGTGCAAACAAAATGGTGCCAAGAAGAGCTTGACATTTTCTTAGCTAAATGAAAAATAATGGCTAGAATATCATCACACCATTCACCCATTTAGTGCTGATGAGACACAAATTGGCTCCCACAGTTAACCATATAACAGAGACTTAAATGGTTCTTGTATCCCTACCTTTAAGTCAGAAGACATGGAGGTGCCGGTGTTGGACTGGGGGGAGACAAGGTCAGAAGTCAGAAGACACCAGGTTACTGTCCAACAGGTTTATTTGAAATCTTAAGCTTTTGGAGCTTTGCCCCTTCATCAGGTGAAGTGGCAACACCCTGAAAGCTTGTGATTTCAAATAAACCTATTGGACTATATTCTGGTGTCATCTGACTTTAAAGCAGAAAGCCTGATTCAAGTTCTACCTGCTCTAGAGGTGAGTCATAACATCTCAGAATACGTTGATTAAAAATACTTACATCAGTGACATCCCTTAAAGAATAATATTGATGGTGAAATGCTTTGGGGCAGCTTGTGGATGTGATCAATATTATTACTCATAATCGTTTTCAAGGCTAAATTTTGAGTAGCAGAGAAAGCCAAGACAAAATTAAAACCGAATGCCTGTGAAATTGAGTATTACCCATTAGTAAGCCAAACACTCTGTGGTCATTTTGCCACCAAAGAGCATTGCGCAACAGTTGCAAGACATGAAGGAAGGTGGAGAGGATAAGCTTCTCCAAGCATATAACATTGACAGACCTCCGAAACAAATGTTCAGCAAATGGCATGGAAATCACTGCCTGGAAATACACTGGCTGCATCCACTAGATAGGAATAGAATCAAAAGGGCACTCTCGGAAAGCTGAATAATTGGCAATAATGTAACTGCTTAAAAGCAGTTCAGAGAATCTTCACACAACTCATTCCTGGGATGAAAAGGTCATCCTCTGAAGAAAAGTTGAATAGGTTAGGTATATACCATTGGAGTTTTGAAAAATGAGATTTTACCTTATTGAAACATGCAAGATCATGAGGTATTTCCAGAGTGGGGAGGGTTTCTAAAGTTAACAGTTGAAAAGAATAATGTCTCCTCCTTACTTCATCTGACGAAGGACAAAGGATTTCAAATAAACCTTTTGGACTATAATCTGGTGTCATGTGACTTCTGACTTTTTCCTTTTTAAAAGGTAGAGATGACAAGATCCTTTTCTGTCAGAGGGTTGATAACACTGTCTTAGATACATTTTTGATCAAAGGATTTGAGGGCTGTGGGTTCCAAACAGGATGTGGAAAAGAAGCCACCACCAGATCAGCCATGATGTTATTGAATGGTGGAGCAGGCCTTCTCATGTTCCTAAGTCCTATTCTGCTGCGTTCCTAAGGATGCAGGGAGGAAAAAAAAACATTAGTCATGACAATTCTCTCTCTGACGAGAGAGCAGCCATATAGTCCAGTCAGACAATGGCAACTTTACCTTACAAGAAAATTGAGAAATGTGAAAAGGAATAATTCAGTCACAAACAATGTCACTTATGACTTAAGCCCAAGGAATGCATTCATATGGCTGGAAGTCAGAATGGAGGTCTTGAGTGATAAACGCAGTTGAACTTGGAGGTGTTGGGGTCAACAAGCAAGATGTTTTTCAAATGGATTTCCCAATGGATTTTCGGTGACGGAAAGACGATGCAGTTTTGAATGGCAGAGTGATTGGCACTGAGGAAAGGGAACCTTTCATAATGCCAATTGTAACACAGACCATAAGTGGTATCTAGGCAATTTCAGAGGATTAAGGGAAGAGAAATGGGGTTTTCAAAAGGCTGATACATAGGGAAGAAAGGGCAAAGTGCAACAGGGTTAGTAGGGCT